CGTTTTTAACTTATTTTCATTATAGAAAATGAGGCCATATTCCTCCCTATGGGAGAGATCGTCTTTGCCATATTCCTCCCTATGGATTCGCAATCGCTCTATCTTGAAAGATTTATCTTCCTTTAACTTTTGTTGTTTTCAAGTTTTATTGTTCTAATCAAGGAATTTGTATAACTCCATTTTATCAATGTTTTAGTTAATGAGAATCAATGGCTGCACACAAAAAAAATTAAGGCCATAAGATGGAGTAGCCCGAAAGCAATGGTTGACTTGAACACGTGTGTTAAGCTATTTGAAAAGGAAGACTTACAAGCAGAGCATTTAGCAAAAAAAGAAAGCAGAGCATTTATCACATGGTATAGAAACAGAAATTATATTGGTACGTAGTTTAATTCCGAATGAACTTTCCTTTTTGTTTTTTTTTTAGAACTTGTAAACTTTCTATTAAAGCAACACTTGAACGAAGAGTCCATGCATGGTATGTTAGCATATAATTCATGTGGCTGTGAGACTGAAAAGAAAATATTACATTTACACCTCCCAAAAAATTATTATTGGGAGATCGATGAGATGTACCGTATCAAGGAAATATCTAGAAAAATATTAGAGAATAAAAAATCTATCATTATCGCTAATATATATTATTTCCTTATTAGTTTATGAATTAGTTATTCAATCTCTATATAAGCTTATGCTCTTGTAAATATGAAAACCTATTTTAAATTCTTCCTAACTCTCGTTATTATATTTCAATTATTATTATATAATAAAAGGAATACGTACGTACGTGAAAGAGAGATCACAATTAGACAAGTACTTTATAGCCAGGGTTTAAACCAGCGATATGGATAGACAAAAAGAAGAAACGGAAGATGGGGAGTGGAGCATTGGTAAGTTTATTCCGCTTGATCTGATTCCTGATATTCTCTTGAAACTGCCAGCTAAATCTCATTCTGAATCTTGTAACTTTTTTATTTTAAGTTTGAAACCCAACATTAATTTCATTTTTGAGTCTTTGGAGTTGCACGAATAAATCCATCAATTTCTACCTTTGCATGAACCTCGGTTTTTTTTAGTCTTATTAGGTTTCATATTCAAATTTGCTTCTCAGTCAGTAAGGCTTCTTGTTCCCCAAATATCTTAATGGTTTATTAGAGTCCATCAAATTGTTATATCTGCTAAATCTCTTTGTAATTGCTCAACCAAATTGTTACACATTCCTAGCAGTACCAAGTTTCCCATGAACTAATTTTATATCAAAGAGAAGCAAGATCACAGGATTCAGTGTAAAGAACAATTATCCAAATATTCCAGCCATGAAACAATCGTTTAGAGGATAATGATGATGATCAGTGACAAGTATCATCTCACAGCTAAATCTTTTACCCATCAAAGTATATATAGAATTTGTGGTTGAATATATTATATACTGCAGATTTAAATGCCCAATAAGTTCCATCTACAAGCCTTTCATAAGATAAATGCCTGTTAATAACAAACACGAGGACACATAGTTATGGTTTACATGATTCTTCTTAATACCTTATTTAACTTTACATG